CCTGGGCTCACTTAATTCTCCTGCCCCCAGGCAGCTGACACTGCAGGTACAGACGCCCCACCTCCTCTCCCTTGTAAAAAACCACCTCAGTGTGCAGTCACTTGCTTTGTGAACTCTTTCTTCTCAGGACTGTCGCCTTGCTGAGGGCCCACGGGCAGTGGATGGGCATCAGGATGTCAGGCCAAGGTGCCAGAGCACAGCTTGATCCAGGAGCTGGACCAGTGAGGGAGGCAGAAATAATAGGCACCGGGGACACCAGGTGACAGGGCTGGTGGGAGCCCTGCTGTGGGAAGGCTTAGAGAGCACCTCTTCCCCCCGCACCTTGCAAGGCAGAGAACAGAAGCGGGGCCACCTGTCCTTCCCGAGGACGTGAGGGAAGCAGCATATAGATTCATCAGCCTGATCCTCCAAGCCAAAGTCGGTTAAAACTAAGATGACACTGAGGAATTGTGAGGCCTCAAGGAACTGTTGCACTGAGCGTGACACCAGTAGGCGGAGAATCCTCCTGACCAAGGTGGTCTGTGACAATCAGCCCGCAGAGGGAGTCAGCCCGTTGGCCCACAGCAGAATCAGTTCCTGAAGGTTTTCTGATCACAGTGATGGGCTGGGTTTTATCTTGAAGTTGGCTTTTCTTTCTCCTGCCTCCTCTCTGATGGTGACATGTGGATATTTACCAAAGTGCTGAATAATGTGTCACCTCTGGCATGGAGCAAATTTCCCTACCTGCCAGTCAGAGTCCGGGGCCTTTCAGACTAAGGCCAAGAATTCCGAGGGGGCTCCGTGGAACCAGGTAGCAGTTCAGGGTTATTGATGTGAGTCTGTTCCCAGCTGGTATCCATGACCGATGACACACACTGTTAGGAGACCAAAGGGAAGGGGCCCAAGCTTCAGAAAGGACACGGGGAGCTCCGGTCTCGGGGGACACTGCCAGGGGTGCACTTGTTCCTCGAAGCCTTTCACGCATCTCTGCAGAGGGGTCTTATTGGAGAAAGCCGTGGCCATGCACACTGGTCCTCAAGGCCACAGTGAATTTGCACTTGACTGTGGCCAGGATACAGAGCAACAGCTGTCACCCTGCGACCAGAGCACTGCTGGGCAGAGGACACCGGAACAGACAGGCGGCCAGAGGGTCCTCAGGCCACTGGGACCTGTGAGACGTGCTGCACATGCAGTCACACAGGCAGCAGTTTTACAACCTGCTAGAGATTCGATTTCTTAGGCTGGGGAAGCAGGCTCTTCGTAATGTTATTTAGATTATTGGTTTATTTATCAACCCCTTTGCCCTTTAAATAAAGGGGAAATCCTTTAGTTAGAGATTTTTTTCCTCTTTTAAGCTAAAGTCCAGTTTATTAATCAAAAATGTCCATTTAAGACAGGACCCTGGGTTAAACCCCCTCAGCAAACAAAAAGTCCTATTAGCAGACAACAGTTGGGCAGAAGTTAGCCTGCCACTTTGCCTCAAAATCTGCTCCTTGAACCTTATTGAATTGCGAACAAATATTACAGAAAGTTACATAAAAATTAGGAAAGTATAAAGATAAATGTCTAAGTTTACCAGCTGATTGGAAAACCTGGAGTTTAGCTCCTTCACTGAGGTGGTCACAGTCAGCCAAGAATGGGGCTGTAGCTCAGTGGTGCCATCACCTGCCTCGAAAGCGCAAGGTCCTGAGTTTGATTCCTGGTACCAAAAAAAAGAATGGATCTCGTTTTCTGGGGAAGAGTGGAGGAGCTGATGGCTATGGATGTTGGCTAAAGCCCCCCACAGAGGACACGTCCCCGGCAGCATCGTTCTTCCAGAGCTGAGCCATGGACTCAGCATCCTGCTCCAGAAAAAGCATGGTTCTCCAGGTTGGCCACAGTCAAAAGCTCAAAGACCCTGCAGGCTAGGAAGCACCAATGCACCCCATGTCCCTCTCCCAAACTGAGCCGGCATCCAGGTGCCCTGCAGCTCCAGAGAAGGACACAGGTCCCCGTGTGCCGCCAACCTTGGCTGGCACGGAGCCGTCAGCTTCCTGTTCTCACCATGGCCCAGGGGGCCATGAGAAACAGTCAGGCCTGGCCACTTGGTGCATTGAGCCTGGGTGCGCCCTTTGGTGTATACAGCTAATGGAAAGAGAAAGGATCTCTTTTCTTTTTTCAAAATGTGCAATTATGGCAGTTAAAATATTGCTAAAACAAAAAGCACAGGCCGGGGATTTAGCTCAGTGGTTCTGCCACCTGCCTTGCAAGCGCAAGGTCCTAAGTTTGATCCCCGATACCAAAAAAAAAGGCACAAGATTCTACTGATCAACCAAGACTCGTCATTATTTATCTTTTTCCTATATATAAGATATGAAACCTTAGTGTATAAAATCAAACATTCAAAACAGTTAACAAAACCACTGTAAACACAACAGGAGATGAAGTGAGTGCCAACACACTGTGCTATGCAGAGTATCTGAACATGATCATTCCTACTGCGTTAAAATGCAAGTCTCCCCTGGAGTTCAACAAATTTCTACTCTGGTGGCCATCCAAACCTATGAAAAACCCAAGTGAGCATTTGGACGTTAAAAAAATACAGGTCTCTTTTTCTTCTGCAGCGACAAGGTACAGCTGTTTTGGAAGTGACCGCATCCACATACCTCACGTGAAAACCATCCTGACTGCCGGTGGTAAGGCAGTCTCCAAGGAGACAGTGGGGACAAGGGCCTCTCTGAACCTCTGTGAAGTCGCCCTTGGGCGTAGATGTTTGCAGAGAACGCGGTGACGGCTCTGCCTCCCTCAGAGGGTGTTGGAGGAGGGCGTGCACCTTACACTACGTCCAAGACTCGAGCACACAGACGCAGTTATTTCAAACAGTACAGCGGCTCCCTGTGAGTCTTTTGCCCCTGGTGCATTCCGTCTCAGTCAAACAGGGATTTAGGAAGTGGCCTTGCAGGGAAGAGAAAGGAACACCGGCACCAGGGACTCCGACCTCTCAGGAGTGCCCTGCGGAGGGGCGGGAAGGTGTGGCGCTCCAGGCCTTTCCTTGCGTGTGCGTGTCCTGGCAGGAGGCAGGCCCGCCCCGGCGTGTAAGGATCCTCTTCCTGCCCCATGCACTGCCTCGACACGGAGGCTGGATGAACTCCATGGAGCAGAACAGTGATCCTTTGCTTCCCAGCGATGTGGAATTAAGAAGAAAAATATTAAAGCTTTCTGGCTTCAACAAAGGAACTCTTCAAAGTGCTGTGTGAAAAACAGTGAATTCCAGTACAGTGTGCAAATGCATCCGCACAGGGAAAGGGCACGGAGGACGCCAGGAAGGAAAGGCCCTCGGCTCGGCCAGGCCTGCGGAGGCCCAGGAAGGCGCGTCCTGTCACTCCGGGCCTTACCACCTCGGCCACACCTCGTTGGCTCACAGGAAGGAGCCTTCCGGGTCAGACTTGTCCCTGTGCCCTTCCGTCCATGCCCCGGAGAAGGTACTCTGGGGACACGTGCGTCCACCAGCCCCTCGGGCACTGCACTCCCAGAAGGGAAGCAGTCCCGTGGTGGGTACCCGAGTCCTGCATCGATGTGACCCCTCCCCGACTTCCCTCCTCAGCCGGCAGGCTTGCATGCCAGGACGGGACCCAGCTCTGAGCTTGTGTGAGACACAGACTGGCTGAAGACCTCAGCAGCAGCATGGGGAGAGCAACTGGGTTTGCAGGTGGCTGCCAGGCTATACCCAAGTTGGTCCCCATGAGGGGAACCCGAAGGAACCCGCACAAGGAACTCGAGAAACTGAGGGGCCATCGTCGCTCTATCAGTGTCACAACTGCCTAAAACCCAGTGAGCAGCCAGACGCTGTGTGAGCTGCGGACCCCAGCAGGGGCCTGTGGCTGCTGTTCTCACGCAGCTGAAGGGCAGTGGCAGAAAAGTCAGCGAGGTCTGCTTCCAGTTCGGAGAGCAGAGCCAGGAGCGGCTGACAGATTCCTGTCCAAGCAGGCCCACAAGTACTTGCCACTGCAGAGTTTAGGCTCAAACTGGAAAGCTACTGAATTGGTGGGGTCTGGCACAGGTGGGAGGGCTCACGGCCCCTGGGCCCCCCTCCCGGTCTTGACAGTTCTTGGACCCTAGAATAATACACAGGTCTAATTTGGAAGACTGTTGTTAGGAGACAACCTAACTTCAGAAAAGAGCACGGTGTCCAGAATATTCGCACCAGGACCTTCAGAGGACCCTGCTAGCGACAGAGCCTGGGCAGGGTACAGGCGGCGACTGCAAGGGCTGTGCCAGCCAAAGGGTTACCCAGAAGGCGGAGGCGCCTGCCACTCACTGTGGTGCCAGCCTCGCCCATCTGGACTCTGGACCCTGGTGAGCACGGCAGGGGAGAGGCCTCCCCACACAGCCTGGAGGGGCAGGTGCGGAAGTGCACCCAGGATCCCTTATCCAGATGCCTCAGGGCCCAGGACTCCACAGTCCACCCTTTGAAGTGCGGTGCTATTTTGGGCGATCTCATCTCTCCCCTGTGCCCTGACTCTGGGGTTAGGACTGTATGGTTTGGAAACGGGGAGGACACCAGCTTGGGTGTAAGTGTCCCTGGCTTCACGGTTTGCTGAAATGGGAGCTACCCTGAAGGTGCGTGGCAGTCAATCCTTAGGCTTCCACCTCACCAGAGCCCTGTAAATCTCAGTGTGGATGGGGTTTGGCTCTTGGAGCCCAGGTGAAGGGGCCCTGTTAGTGCTCAGCTGCAGGGAACCTGGCATCTTGGTTACAACCAGACCACAATAAAGGTGTCAAGAAAATATGTGTAGTGGAAGCTCCAGGGGCTGAAGTGTGAGGTCTCTGGTTCCCTGCCACGGGAGAGGGAGAGACAGTGTGTGAATGTAAAGCTGAAGGGCTCAGCACCTGTCCACCAGCTGCGCGGCGCTTCTTCGACTGCTAAGTGCTCACTGCTCGAATGGAACAGGAAAACACCCTGGCTGCACCGAGGGGAAGCACTCCGGCCCCATGCTTTGGGCCAGGAGCCTGCGCCCATTGAGAAGCACAGGCGGGCACCGTTCTGAGTTGAAGGCCGTATTTATTAGGGTGCCTTTATTAACAAGCTCTCCTCAGCCAGTTCTGAGTGCACCACAGCAGCAGGCACGCTGGCATCGAGGTCTGGGAGCAGGCAGCCCGCAGAGCTGCACCTCCCGCTCACAGTGCTGTTGCAGCTCTGCAGGCTGCCCCAGCCGGGCCCATGACCAGCCTCCCCCAGAAAATGGTTAAACAGAAGCTTTGGTTCGCTGTGACTGAAATGTTCTGAGTTCGAAACTGCACCAGCCTGTGACAAGCCCGGCTCCACTCTCCTCTCAGGCCTGTCCTTGCGATGCTGCAGACCAGAGCCTTTGCTTCTGGCGGCCCCCTCCCCATGTCCGGTGTCCCTGTCTCTGTGGAGTCCCCTCCGACCATGCTCAGGATCGCAGTGTGGGGGCCGTGAAGAGGCAGCAACCCTGCAGGCCAGCGGCGACGACTCTGCCGCCCCAGGAAGCCGTGCGTTGGAGCCCGGTGCACCATGCTCGCCAGTCTTGCCCCGGGGCTCTGGGGCCTGCACAGGCGGCGTCTGTTGGAGGTGACAGTTCTGAGGCAGGGGGCTCTGGATTCCAGGTGGCTTCCCCCAGCCCTGCAGGCAGGGACAAGGCTGCAAGTGTGGGTGTGGGAGGTGGTGCACGAAGCCCTCAGGGGCTGGATGTGCTGCCTGCAGAGGCACCACCCCGTTCTGGATCTGGACGAAGCCACCTGTGGCAGGGGCGCAGTGGCCACACACAGAGTCACCTTCCTGCCGGCAGGAGTGTGGGCTGCACATCAGGAGTCTGTAGGTGAGCAGGCAGCGGCATCTCTGATTCAGGGAGAAGGGGCGTGCAGGGTGTGGCTCAGGACAGAGCGGGAGCAGGGCAGCGCTGGAGTCACCCCTGGAGCTCCGGCTGCGCTCCCCAGTGTGTGCTGCGTGCCCAGGCACCCCCGTGCCCCCGGCTGGGCTGCCAAGGAGGTCGACGCAGAGGCAGCTTTCCTCATGCGTGGTCCTCTCTGAGGCTGTACAGCCTCGGGATGCCAGCGGTTCCAGCTCATAAAACTCATGCTCCGGTTCCGACTTCTGGCCCTGGGGATCTACGTGATGTGCATCCGAGGGACAGGCTTTGCTCTGCCCTTTGTCACCAGGACCTGAGGAAAAGGCGTGGGCAAAGGCGCCGCACTGGAGCTTCCTTGGCAGCGGGATCTGCCCACAGGAGCCCTGCGGCCCGAGGCACCGGCACATGCACTGGAAGAAGAAGGTGGCGAAGGCCCAACTGACGCACATGACGAGCATCATGAAGGTGCCCAGCTGCGTGTAGGCCAGCACGGTGGACGGCATCATCATGGCCCCAGCCACAAAGGTGGTCAGGGCAGCCACGGCGATGGCCGAGCCCATGCGGCTCAGAGAGAAGATCACCTTGCCCTCGCGGTCGGGGTCCGGGGCCAGGCGGTAGGCAACCCCGTAGTGGACGGCAAAGTCCACGGACAGCCCCACGGCCACTGAGATGGTGACGGATTCCAGAACGTTCAGCTCCCAGCCCAGCAGGACCAGGGACCCCACGGTGACGAAGATGGTGCCGGCAATAGAGAGGATGGCGTACAGGCTGATGACGACATTCCACGTGGTCAGCAGCATCACGCTGAAGGCCACTGCCACTGACAGCCCCATGGCGATGAGGGTGCCATCCGAGAGGCTGTCCTGCAGGTCGTAGAACTCGAGGTTGCTCACAAACCAGCCGTTGCTGAGGCCCTCGGGCGCAGAGCGCAGCTCCCGGGAGATCCATGTGTCCACCTCACTATAGAACTGGTGCATCTTCTCGTAGGCCAGCGTGAAGAGGTGGGCGCTCTGGAACTCCAGCACCACGGCCCGGATGGTGTCGTTGACGTCGAAGCGCGGCCCCGGCGTCCTGCTGTCCAGGTGGTAGCCTGTGCTCCTCTCCAGCTCCATGATGGCCCTCTTGATGCACAGCTCGAAGACCTCCTGCTTGTAGGGGAAGCTCCAGTGGCTGCAGCACGGGTACAGGGCAGGCTCGTCGCAGTCCTGGTTCTCCATCCACTGCTTGAAGGTCTCGATGAAGCAGCTGGTGAAGTCCTGCTCGTCGGTCTGGTAGAAGAACGTCTGGTTCCTCAGCTTCTGGCAGAAGTGCAGAATCCAGGCCTGGGACGCGGGGCTGGCGATGTTGAAGCTGCTGTCCAGCATCAGCTTGCCCTTGCTCTTGGGGTTGAGCGGGTTGCCGTTGTCCTCGGGGGACACGCCCCAGACCACAGTGATGGGCATGTGCAGCTCCTCGCCATGGTGCACGCGCTCAAACATGAACAGCTTCTTGTACTCAGCGTCGTAGCGCTCAAATGGGTGGGATGCACGGAACACCTGGAACTCGGACAGCTCCAGTGAGGGCAGCTTCATCTTGGGGTTCACGCACACGATGTAGGCTCCGCCCACTGTCAGCACGAGGAACCACAAGAGCCACAGGTAGCGGAACTTAATGACGATGCATGGCAGCACTTTCTCGAAGAAAATCCGAGAGACCTCGGAAACAGCAAAGAGTAGGCGGTGGCACTTCTGGCGGGCCACAGTCCAGCAGCTCTTGTCCTCATACAGTGGCTGCTGGGGCTTCCGGAAGCAGCTGAAGATGTTGAGCAGGTAGCGTTCGTGCAGCACAACTACGGCTGGGAGCCACGTGACCATGAGGATGTAGTTCACCAGGATGGCAGTGCCCGCGTACACCCCGAAGCACCTGATGGCCGTGATGTTGCTGACGTAGTTGGCGTAGAAGGCGGCGGCTGTGGTAAAGCTGGTGACAAACATGGAGAGGGCGGCGTGCTGCAGGGTGGTGCTCACTGTCTCTGAGGTCTTGGCGTGTGGCTTGTCACACTTGGTGTAGGTCCACACGTCACACAGCACAAACGCGTCATCAGCCCCAATGCCAACCAGAATGATGAGAGCGGTGAGGTTCATGAAAGGGAAAAACTCGAAGTTAAACACAACACGGTAGAGGAAGTAGGAGACAATCAGGGAACTGATGATGGCAAACATTGTCATCAGCGTGATAAACATGGACTTGGTGTAGACACACATGACCAGCAGGACGATGACCATGGCTATGGCCGGATACACAGTATCCATCAGAAGGTAGTCCTGAAACAGGCTGTGCTTGATGCCAAACTCAATCCCGGTGACAGCTGTCACGCCATCGGAGGAGTTCCAGCCCTCGAAGTTGTCCAGGTAAATGCTCATCATGCTCTTCCCCTTCTCCGTGGGCGAGAAGAGCATGCTGTACTTTAGCCCCGGCGTGGCATGCTCAGCCGTCCTCGGGGCCAGAAAGTCCTTGTCCACCAGGTAGTGGAGGATCTGGTACACGGCATTGTACTTGGTGCACTTGCGCGGCACGCTGCTGCACTTGAGCTGGTCCTTCCTCCGGGCTGTCGCATCCCAGCAGTCCGGCCCCAGGGTGCCGTTCTGGTAGTGTTTGGCACAGGTGCGCAACAGCTTCAGGGTGTGAGACACATCTCGCTCGACGATGCTCTGACAGGAGGACCTGTTGTTCAGAATGGCGATGTAGTTGCCCAGGGTCCAGCTGGGGCAGCAGGAGGCGGCTGTGGTCCTCTGGCAGAGGTCGCTGAACTGGGGGTGAGCCCTGATCTGCAGAGACAGGGCAGGACCTGTGTTTAGAAGGCGTGGGGCAGGGGAGGTGTCTGGTGCCTCGTGGGAAGGTTAGGAGCTCAGTGACCGACCTCTCAAACCAGGGGTCAGTTTGCACACAGGTGAGATGTCCCCAAAACCACCTCCCACTGCATACAGGGCTCTAGGTTACTTTATTCTCAACTATAAACTAGTGTGTGGACTGAAATACAAGCGCAAAGCAAGAGCAGCCGGTGCAGGTTTGGAGGGTAAAGCTCACACCTGCGTAGTGGAGAAGCTTTGTCAAGGCCTTGTAAAAAGCAGCAGGTGGAGAGGCGGTAAAGCCTGTGCGTGTTCAGGATTAAGCAGCAATTGTCCCCATTCATATTTGAAACAGATTAGTGGCTTACAATGTGTTATCAGCATGAACTTTTTTGTGGCCTGGGTTCATTGCTTCGGTAGCTGGAGGCAAAGGTGCTATTCCCAGAAAACGGCTGTGGGCTCTCGCTTATGTTCCCGAGACTCCTAGCTTCAACCCTAACCCAAGGGGAGGTCAGCACGGGCCCGGGCCTCGGGGGTGACGAACACCCTTCTGAGTGAGGCGCAGGGCACCACCTGGCCCTGCACCATGTAAGCACACACAGGAGGCCCCATCTAGGGGGAGCGGCCCCTTGATCTCAGACCTGCCACCGCCGAACTCTGACATAAATTCGCTGTTTATAAATTGCCAATTATAACAGCTCAAAGAAACTAAGACAGAAACTGCCCAGTGAATCAAAAATTGATCCTAGAAATATCCAAAACACGGATGTCAAGATGCACAAAGGATTTAGACTTTTTTCCCTGAAATGTGGATAGAAAGGGAAAAGGTTTCTAAATCTACATTTTTTATCTGATCTTAAATAATGTATACCAATAATAAGTAGGAATTAAGTATTTCTTTAAATTCTTAAAAAGGTGTTCAGGTTACCCCATCCTTTCTTCCCGGAAGGTGGTACAGCACTGCCCCTTCCCCACACCTGCCAGAGCCTCTTAGTGGCACAGCAGCAGACGCCCAGCCCCAGGCTGTCCCTCCTCTCTGCTGACCAGGGCTGTTCCAGGAAGAAGCTCCGAAGTTCAAGGAGGACTGAGCACACCCTCTGCCCTGCTGAGCCAGGCTGTGCCAACCTGGGTTGTGAGGCCTTTGCAAAGTGGAGAAGGTGGCACAGAGTGACTCTGCGACTCAGCTCCATCTAAGAGCCAAGCTACCTGCAGCCTCTAATCCCGCCCGCAACACACTGCTGGGTCTAACTCGGTCAGGGGACAAGGACGCGCGTCTGGGAGTGTGGTGCTGAAGAGGCAACCTGCACTCGGGGTTTCAAGACAGTTTATTCTTGCAGAAAATCTCCATAACAAAAGGCCATTTGTTTGTTGTTTTTTAAAGAGACTCTACGAGAATAAAGAAAAACAAGTCAAAGGGTTACTGTTCAAATGTAAAAAATAACCTTTACTTCCACAGACTTCCTCTCTAAGCTCATTTCTTTTTTTCAGGTTTTTGGTTCCAGGCATTGAACTCGGGTCCTTGCACTTGCTTGAGGCAGGCAGTGGAACCACTGAGCTAAATCCCGGGCACCCCCCTTTTTTTTGGTACCAGGGATCAAACTCGGGTCCTTGCGCTTGCACAGAAGGTGGCAAAACCACTGAGCTAAATTCCTGGCCCTCTAAGCTCATTTCTTAAATCAAAAATAATTCATAAAACAGGGTAATCCATATTGAAGCCTGTGAAAACCATTCACATATGGATCCAGGGCCCGGACTGGCATCTTCTGGGCTCCGTGGCAGTAACCAGTTGCTCCCAGGTGAAGTGTGCAGGCCCCAGGGCAGCCTGTGACCCGAGAGAGCGGTGCCGTGGCCCTCGGGTCCCAGTTCCCAGATGAAAGAGAATGAACTGTGGCCACTGGCTCGGTGGGAGGCGCCTCTCCATGGCTGCTGGAGTCAGGTGAAGTGGGAATGCATGGAGTGCTCTCCTGCTAACCCTTCCCAAAACAGTGCTCACAGTGTACACACTGGACCAAAGATTGAAAGGCCGGGTATTCTATACTGACCCGCTACTACTCTGATGGCTGCTGTCACCAATAAACGCTAGTTAGCCACTGGGGAGCTAGCGTAAGACTCAAAAGTGGGCTGCCGAGGTACAGCCTTTCAGAAACGGCTTTTGAGGACTCTGCCGGTTGAGAAATAAGGACAGAAGCCACCGTGACTGGGATCCTCTGACTGCCCTGAGCCAGACCCGAGCATCCTGACTGTAAAGGATCGGACTGCAAGGAGCTGCCTTCACTTTCAGGGAGAAAGGATATTTCTCATCTGCCCATCCACTCAGAAGAGAAATGCTCACTGAGGACCTCCTTGAGATGAACAAAACATAGTGGCCCTTGCCCTCACACGCTCGAAAGGTGGCAAGAAAATCCCACACGAAATGCAGTGTTGCTGGGCATGGCAGCACATGCCTATGATCCCAGGAAGCTGAGGCAGGAGGATCGCTGAGAGTTTGAGGCCAGCCCAAGCTACATAGTGAGTCCAAGTCCAGCCTGGGAACTGCAGACTATGCTTGTCTTGTTCTTGCTGAGGACAGAAAGATGAGCTCCTGTTGGCCACTCCTCCTTGGGAGCCTGGTAAACACCCAGACCAGCACAGTCTGTCTGCTCCTTTGGACAGTCTAAACCAGGGGTGGCGAACCCACGGCACGCATGCTGCAGCAGGCTGTTTGTATCATTGAAAGCTCTAAAAGGTTCACCGCCCCTGGGCTGCAGTATACAAGTGCCCCACTCCAAGCCCCCAGAGAGCCACGCTTAGATCCTTCGGCTTTCCTCGCTCAGAGCTGAAACGTTTTCCTGCTACCAGGCCACCTGCAGTTGGATGAGATTCGGTAGCGGTCTCTGAGGAGCATGCTGTTCAGAGCCTGTACTCAGGCCTCCTCCATTAATGGAGACAGTTGGGCGCCCCCTGCTGGTGCCCCTTTCCTGGCTGGAGGAAGTGGGCTTCAGGGATGGGAAGCTGCTTTTCCCTGGGGATAAGTGTGAGCCCCTGTGCTGCAGACAGGGCAGGGGGGCTGCAGGGCGGGCCCCGTCCTCGCTCTCTGGTCTCCGGGCCCATCTGAGCCGTCACCACGTTGTCTGCTGGCTACCACAGCATGCTGAAGGTTGTCGTCTGACGCACACACAGGCGGGTGGACAGACAACTGACCCGCTGTCTCCAATGACAGAGGCAATCATGGCACAGTGCTGCTCCTTAGGTTCTGAGTCTCTGACTCCGCTCAGACTCCAGCATGTGCTCATGGAATCCACGGGTACTTATTCCGGGCCACGCTGACCAGCATGGGCGATGGCGTGTATAGTAAAACCAAACAAAACACAGCACGCAGGAGGTATGCACCTCATGAAAGCGCACAAAGCACAGTGTGTCAGGCCGGGCTCTTGAGTTCGCCCTGGCTGGCTTCAAATCTTGGACCTGACTTAGCATTGGTGGGGACTTTCCTCATCCACAAAATGAGTAAATAGCAGCTTCTAGCTCTAAGATGGTCATGAAATAACTCCTTAAAGGGCTAAGAGCACTTCTGGGCACTCCTGGTCAGCCCTGGACACATGGCAGCTATTAATTAATTAAACGAACTTAATTGTTTCAGAGCGCACCAAGGAGCAAAAGCCACAGATGTCAGCCAGGTGCTCTGTGCGGGCCGTGGGGTCAGGTCACCAGAGGGTGTCACTCTGAGGGCTCGGCCACCCCTCTGTGGACAGGCACCGTACACTCTGCTCACCCCACCATCCCGGCACAGTCTCACAAATACTAAGTGTGGCTACACAGTGGCTACTTCAGAGTAATGAGAAGTGTAACGCACGACCAGGAGAGACATCCACAGCCTCCAAACAAGGGCCTGTTGCCACAGAAGAGAAGAAAATATGGTAAAAAGAAAACTGGCCACTGATTAAGAAACCGTTTTGTTTATGGATCATTTGTGGCTTCGGCCTGCTTGGAGTTTAACAGAGAAAAGGTGGCAGTGACCCAGAAGTGACAACTCCTTGTTGGGAAGTCATTTTCCAAATGTGCCAACAGATAAAGAACAGGGTAAAGCAGGAGGCCAGGGACCAACTAACTGGCAACACGGCAGGCAGCCTGGTTCCTGGAGGGACTCCTGTCAGCCTGAGGAGACCGCTGCTGGTGAACACAGGAGTCCCACTACCATCCATGCCGTTAAGAAAGCCTGGCGCAGGGCGAGGTGGCATCATATTGTCAGGCTGGCTCTTAGTGGGGCGGCACATCCTGGAGCTGACTGAGCACAGCAAGTCCCTTTTCTGGCTGGACAGTGATGCCGGATGGCAGCTGCTATGTGGAGAAGCCAGCACTCCTCAGACCTGGGGCTGGCTTCAAATCTTCTGGTGCTGGCATCTGTCTGGCCCTGAAGAAGACTGACAGTGCTGACTTCCGGCTTCCTATCTTCTACAGCAGCAGGGCCACTTCTGCAGACACTGGCTTCCATCACCCTTGGTGCTCCATTTCCTCTCCTTTGAGGTCAGTCTCAAATGACTCAGAACTGTGAGGGGAGGTAGCTAACTGCATAATTAAGATGTCCACAACTGCCTTGGGGCAAGAGTAGAGAACAATGAATGTGGATCAGAAAAGGGAGAAAGCATGACAGAAAAAAAAACAGTTTAACTATTAACCTAAACAGAAATGCACTGTGAAGACGGTGATGGGGGAGAACAGGAGTGTGAAGGAAGACTGCACGGTTTAGACAGGAAACACTGGGCGCTCTGGGCCTGGTCTGGCCTTCTGGCAGTCCCGGGTGGCGGCCTGTCTTCCAGGACTCACCTCGGCAGACACCAGGCCAGCTAGGAAAGAAGGGCGGAGAACAGCACCTTACTTGTGCTAGAGTTCAGGTTTGTTTTACATACCCTGGTGTTATCTACACTGCACATGGATTTAATTGCAGGTAAATTCCACAGTGTCTCCCCTCCCGCAGAGGTAAACACTATTCTGGAATATCGTTCACCTGGTGATAAAAAAGAAAAAAAGTGTTATCAGTTATTCATTCCTCATAAGATGCAGAACTCAAAAACAATTCAAAGTGGGAACTACATAGCATTCATCAGCATCAGGGAATGCTTTTCTTTCATAAATTCCCACAGAAACTTCTCACAAAAGTGCCATATATCACCTTAGCACAAAGCTTTTGCTCCTCAGTGCGACTTCGAGCTGTAGCATGGAAAGCACAATCTATCTCCGATCAGATTTTACTGAGGAAGAAAGATGCGTAACAACTTTCAGCAGGAAGTTAGCGGAATGCTTCCCTCTTAATTTCACAACACATCCCCATAATGTTGTGTAAAATCAAAGAATGACTCTCTAGGGCGGTGATGGCAAACCTTTTAGAGCTTTCAGTGATACAAACAGCCCACTGCGGCACGTGTGCCACAGGTCTGCCACCACTGCCTGGGGAGTCTCAGGAACAGAAGGTAAGGGCGTGCAGTCTGGCAGCTGCCAGAGGGAAGAGCACAGTGACCCACGTGAAAGCAGAAAGTCAGAGTTCGGCCAAGCAGAGAACACGGGCCAGGATCACAGGTGCGAGGCATGTTCTGAGTGCATCTCCAGCCCCCCTACAGCAGAGTTGGAAAACAATACTCTGACACCCAGGCTGGGGCAGTGCCCTGGGAAGGGCTTGGTGTCTGCAGTGGCTGTGGCCAGGCCCTGTCACTCTGCTGACTGCATGCAGCTAATAACTTCTCTGAGCTGCCTCTTCCTCTGTGAAATGGCGACAGCAACATCTGTCTCAGGCAGCTCTGAGAATTAAGTGGCATGATGAAAAACAGGTGCTTAATAAGCCTGCTTCTGTTTTGGTCATTAAAAAATTTAATATTTAGCAAGTGAAACAAAGTAAATTAATTTTGTTATCTAAAATGCACTAATTGTCACTAAATTTTTTTTTTTGGTACCAGGGATTGAACTCAGGACCTTCCGCTTACGAGGCAGGTGGCGAAACCACTGAGCTAAATCCCCAGCCCAAAGCACTAATTGGTAAATTTATAGACAAAATTTTATTACAAAAGGTTTTATTTATGGTCATGAAATTTTCTTTAGTAAACTCCCAACTTCATCTTAGGTAGATTGAGTCAGGGAGCAAAATCAGCCTGGTAGAAACAAACAACTCATTCACAGAGAACTCATAATGCTTTAGTCACAGAAGAACCTATTACCTATGAGACCAGTATGTGGTGCTGACTACAGAAATACAAACAAGACTCTGTTTCATCAATTTGCTAATGTTCTTCCTGGTTAAGATAGCGACCAGCAGATGTTGGTGAAGCAAACGTATTCTGTAACTGACAGAAATAAAGCAGCCAGAACGTAAAACTATTCATGGTTCAATTTTTCTAATTTGTTTTAAGACAAGAGACAGAAAAGGAAGCTCAGATTGCTTTCCGAAGTCTGTATAAGATCCCGTCTCATCTACTTTTTCTCTATAACTACACAGTGAAACAGGGTTCAAAATAAGATCCCGAGACTTGGCAAGATCTAGAAACAGTAAAGATCCATTCGGGTCCTCCAGGGTTCTAATAGGGAAGAAAGCATACTTAAAGTTCTTCAGCAACAGCCAAAAGGCTCCCGCATTAACATCCACTTAAGACTCTTGAGGAGCTGCAAGTCCTGCTTGCTAATCGCTGTGGCTAATCCTGTCTTCCTGTCAGCTGGGCTCCTCTCCCACCAGGCCTTCAGGGAGTCAGTGGCCAGCATTTAAAGATCTGCAACCTGAGCCGCAGCTCCCTCATTTCCACAGCACCACCTGCAGCCCAAGCCGCACGCTTGGGCTCCGGACTTTGCCTTGTTCTTCTCTGTGTTTCTGTCGCTCAGTGCTGCAGCAGGCACGGGAATGGCTCTTGGTACATGTTTTTCAATGAATCAAAACTTTAAAACGTTTTTTGATAATAGATTATTTTAGGTTTCAATCCAAAAACATGTACTATCATTTGATCTAGAAATACATAAAATAAAGAATTTGAAATAGGACTTAAAAGTTTGGGCAGGGTCGAGTTTTATTTTTATTTTCCTTAAAATTAAATCTAACTCAATCATCTTTTCCTTATTTTTATCACAGATAAATTCTGACCGGTGGCTGACCAACCAGAGAGAAGTCAGGCCGGAGGCTAGGAGCTGGGCTGTGACCCCCCCGCACTGGCCCCAGGGCACCGGCTGCAGGTCCTTCCCAGACGCTACTCACTCGGGACGTCGCAGAAAAAGCTGTCTTTGTGGAAGTTCCAGTCCACCTCTCTTTTTTCTCTTTCATAATGATCATCTGACCACCGATCGTCCCGATGGCTGAAATGGAACAACGTGACCTTCGGTGAGGCTCTGGCTGTTTCAAGGTGACAAGTGTGTGGTAACTGCATCCTCAAAGCCACATCCTACTCAGCAATTGACAGTAAACTGGGGGATTAACATAAGCAACCCACATTCATTTTCTCACTCTGGAAGAAGAAGAGAAACATCACCGCTTCATCCTTCTGCAACACCACCTTAAGACAACAACAAATTGAACAGCTCTGTGGCAAATGACTTTGAGTATCATCTTTTATACTCAGCCTTTGTTCTCAGGTGCTATTTAAAGAAGACTTCATTAAGCAATATTTATGTAGGTTACATAAAAATGCAGGACGATTACCTCTTGGCCTGCTCATCTGCATACTTAAAAGGGTAATTTGCCAGCGTGGCTTTGTACCCGGTGTTTTTGACCATGTTGTTCCACGTCACCAGTCTCTGGCCTATCGTCGTCCCTCTTGGCTCAAAACCCTAGGCAAAATGCGACAGGTTCCCATTAGAGCTCTTCATCCCAGGCCAAGTGCACAGTGACAGCGACAGCAAGGAGAGGCAGTGGGACAGCAAGGAGAGGCAGTGGCGGGTGACATCCTGAGGGTCACCTGTCACTGTGACAACTCAGTGAGGTATGGGCCTCAGGAAAGAGGAAGAACACTTAGTAGTTATTTGTCCTCTGATGCCTGCCCATCTGGGAAGCACTTTCTTTTACCTCATGAATGCACGCACTGTCGTGGTGTCTCACAAAGGGGCTAGTGATACACTTGGCCACATTTTTCTCATTCTTCTGCCCCAGGGGAGATTTACTCAAAGACAGACCCGCTCTTAGCAAGGAATACTGAAATTCCTTCAATACTGAAATTCTTCTGGGAGAAAAATTGCATTCAATCTTAGAGGGTTTATGAAAATATTTTTATACGGCATGCAGACTGTAGTATACTGCTTTTTAGCTTAAACATGGGGACAGAGAGGCAAAACAACATCTAGAGTTTTGAGGGTGAGTTTTGAAGGTCCCCTGACCTTCTAGGAAGCTGAGAGTACAGATTACACATGCCCTCATATTTCAAAAAGAGTCATATACTTACCCAAGGCTGGAGGTGGTTTCAAAAGAAATGGGACATTAAACAAGAGAATGCCACCTGCATTAAAATACTTAATTCAAGGTGGTGGCTTCAGCTAGAGAACAGATCGCTCTGTGGGCTCAGGCCTCCTTACCAGCAGCGGATCTGAGAAGTCTGGCAGCTCCAGCACCAACACACCCACGAGTGCACAGACCGCGATGAGCAGGGTGCATAGTCCCAGGACCACCACCGGCCAGTCAGCGAGCAGGGCCGCATAGCTGCGAAGTACAGGGTAGACACCGCTTAGGTTGGCAGGGCCCGTGGATTTGTGAAGTCCTCACAAGTTAGACCTGGTACAGGTGTTCCTTCTGAACACAGGCACACATGGGCACACACAGGCACACTTAAGTGTTGTAAAACTACAAGACCATTTTCTTTGCTTTTTTTGTGATAAAGCAGCAGAGATCATACACACAGGCTACGGAGAGTCAGAAGGTCTGAACATGGCCTGTTAGGTTTGTATCTATATCTATGCCCAGGAAAGAAATCAAAAAGCCACACTTCATAAAGGAAAAGAAAACCAGGTAACGAGGACTGGTCCTTCTTGAAGTCTCTTCCATGACTTTTGTTTCTGTCAGGATTCTCTTCCTCCACACCCTACTCTATCAGTTCTTTAAAAGAAATCAGTCTATAAGCAGGTTCATGTAGTATAAATCAGAAAAATAACCAAACCAAACACTTCCCATAATAGGCCCACAGCTGAAACTACCTGAACACACCCACGGGACTGTGAGCACCTCGAGGCAGGGATGCTGTCTACTCTGGTTAGCATGGCATCAGGTGCTCACTGGAAGTGCTCTGCAAATGCCTCCAATGAAATGACTCCTGAGTACCGACCACCTGTCTCCTGGACACTTTGGTCAGGGGCAGCCTCTCCCTGGCCTCAGGAGCTGCTCTCATCACCAGGCCTGCCAGTGGTCCCTCCTGCCAGATGCCCCCCACCCTGTCCAGCACCACCATGCCCTGGCCACGCCTCACTGTTTGCACATGTTCAGGTCTCCACGGGAACACAGTGCCCACGGAAGCGGACTAAACTTCAAAATGCATTTGGCTCCTTGAATTTTTATTGTTGTCTTTTTCATGTTTATTTTTATTAGCATGTTTGCAGTACATAATGATCACACTCCTTTTGGGGAGTTGGTGCATGTGTAGAACACATTCTTTTTATGCCCCCATCTCTTAGTGCCCTTCCCAAACCCAGAACATTTAACTTGTGGACCACTGCTCTCAAACTCTCAGTGGTGCTGGCTCCTTCGGCTGCTGTGAGGGCCATTTCTGGCTCATTTCAAATAGGCTTCTTACTCATAGATTTGTGTATCATTGCTGTAAAATCATGAAGTTGTCAATAAAGCTGGTGGCTCTAAATGTGTGAAAAAGCTACTCTGTCTCTAGGGATAGACTGCTGGTTTGTTTATGCTCTGTTCTCTTTGTGGGTCTGGTTTAGTGGGCATATTTACTTCAAATTAAGATTCTAATAAGGGAATTGAATATGACAGAATCAAACTGAGACCTGCACAGACAGTTTTCACTGCTGTTCTTGTACAAAGAAACAAATAAGCAACACAGCCTGCACTCCCCAGAGCACTGCAGCTCCCCAGCCTGTGCTGAGCCCGTCTGGGGCTGTGACCACTTCCAGGAGGAGGTTGAGGCCCAGCGGGGAGGACCGCACTGAGAACAGCTCTTCCTCTGTGCATGCTGACCAGGACCCACAGACAGGAGTAAGTGACCCTGAAACACATATCTGCTCCCCCAAATTCACAGTTCATTTCCATGTGAATCACATCCATAGAACTCCGAGTTGAACTTTATTCACTTGACTGCAAATTCTGGATCTAAACTGGTTAAGGAAGCTGGGTGTGGTGGTGCACACCTGTAATCCCAGCAGTCTGGGAGGCTGAGGCAGGAGATTCCCAAATTTATACCCAGCCCAGCAATTTAGCAACTTAAGTGCGATCTTGTCTCAAGATAGAAAATAAAAAGGGCTGGGGGATGGAGCTCAATGGGAAGGCCCTGGGTTCAAGCCCCAGTAACACACATACACACACACACACACACACACACACACACACACACACCCTTAAGGGAAAACTGTGCTGATACAACAGAATCACACTAACAGAATGAACCACTGTAATGAAAACACATAAATCACACCAGGCTGCCTGAAGCTTTTCCAGTGTAAACATGGAGTGCCAGAAGCTTTCATGCTCCTAGAGCATAGCTTCACTTTATCTCCTCCTCTATCTAGTGCAAACTAAGATGAAAGCAGCTGGTTTTGAAGCAATGAAGTCCTTTGTCTTAATAGCATGCTGGAGACTTTCTGTTCATGGCTTCAGATTTTCAGATTCTTCACATTTTAGACCTTAAAATATCAGCCCTGTGAAATGACAATGGCTCTGGGCTTATACAATTATTCATTATGCATCCTTAAAATGGACCCATTTTCTTTCAAATGAACCAGAATTATCCATTTTTACCTACAAACCTGTTATCAACAGAGGGCACTGGGCCCCGAATTACTTAGTTTTTATGCTCTGGCTTGATTTACCAATAGAATGACTTTTTGTTATGTGCTCCTGGAAATCACACACAGGCACAGCACCCTTAAAAACCTTTTTCAATAATCGCTTCTCCCCCTTGGAAACATTTGGTTTTGATTTTACAGTGCTGCTCTGCCCCAGCTCTGCCAACTCCATGTGACTCACATGGGTGGTGGCCTGGGCCCCTCTGCTGGTTCGCCAGCTGCCCACGCCCATGAGGGCTGAGGTCTGATGCAAGGTGGGTGGGGTGCCAGCCCAAGCAGAGTCCCCACACACGGGCTTCTCTCAGGAACCACAAGCCGGCCCTCCTGCTGCCTATACAGAGTCACAGCACAGCTGAGGTGCTGCAGGTCACCCTGAGAGCCAGACAACGGTTGGAAAAGCAAAGTGAAACACTAATAAAAATGAGAGAAGTATAGGAAATCACAGTGCCCCGTGCTTGCAGGGGTGCTGTGCATCTGAGCCAGGGACAACCTGTTGCATGTGGGCCCTGCTGTCACAGCCGCTGTGTGGGGTCCCACGGGAGGTCCCTCAGATACACTCAGATTCTCAGCCAGCTTCTTACCAGGTTTACTCTGGAAATAGGTTGGAAACAACTGTCCAAGCAAACCAACTAAGTGTCTCCCAGGGCCAGCGTATGGTCGGGCGGCAGTAAAGGGGCCTGTTACAAATGGCTGTTTCTATTACAGTAGCACCCCACAGTATTTTCTTCTTAGCTTACACACTTGCCCTCTTACTCTGCTGTTTCTGAAAGCACTCTCTTCTCCCTCCTCTTCCCTCTGAGCAGAACCAAGCACACAGTGTGCATGCTTGAACCTGAAGCCGAGACCCTTTTCCTGGCCACCCCCAACCCTAACCCTGGTAGCCTGCCCTTGTTCCCCAAGTCCTCTGCACTGACAGTCCACTAAGCAGTCTTGGTTCCCACCTTCTACTTAGCTCTACTTAGCTGTTTTAGTTTTCCTTTCCTTCCTAAAACCCCCTTCACCTTCACTTTATTCCTTGTGTTTCTCTCAGATATTCTTCCTTATTCCTTTTGTCCCTGAAGGGTAGGGGCATTTCAAAATGTTATTAATCATGTTTCCTGTGGCATGATGAATTTAACAGGAAGAATGACTGAAGCTCAAGAAATTTCACACACCAGAAAATAGGATTCGGAACTCTTTCATTCATTCAGAACTCATATTCATTCAGCAATTAGCGTGAAGTAACAAGGTTGCAAGGCATTATAGGAATACAAAATGGCAGACACAGACCCTGCCAACAAGGAACTCACAGTAAAATCAGACAGCCATGAAACTATCTACACAACAGGTCAAGAGAGAGGTGTCCCTACAGGCAGAGATAAGATGTTTTGTGAATAACAGATTACTTCTGGCTAAGGTGAAAAAGGGAATCAAGAAAGACTTTTTTTTGAAAAACTCGTACTTATATGCATATATACCAAAACGAAGAAATTAGGGATTCTTAAAAATACCAATCTAGAAACAAAGGGAAAAAAATAAAAAATCTTTCAAAATGCAAAATTTTGTCTACCAAGAAAGCCTTTATTTCTAGAGAACTGAAATTCTTTTTCTTAATATTATATATTTTCTTGCATCTTCCCTTTATCTTTTTCCATTTTTTTGATAAAACTAGGAGGAAAATTTGAATAAATAAAATGTGGTACATACAGTACAGTGGAAGAAGGAAATTCGAACACATGGTATAACATGGCAAACCTTAAAGACATTAAGCTAAGTGAAATAAACCAGTCACAAAAGGCCAAAACTGTGTAATTCCACGCATAGGAGGGGCCGAGAGTAGCCAAATGAAGGTAGAATGGTGGTCGCCAGGGCTGTGGGATGTGGAAACAGACAGTTACTGCTTAAAGGGGTACAGAGTTTCTGTTTCATGAGATGAGGTCGGGTCGACCAGCATCGTGACGACCACTACGGATCTCTGATGTGATGCCACAGGACTGCACACTTGGAAATGCTTAAGAGGCAATTTACAGATTGTAGTTCACTGCAATTAAAAACTAAGTATTATTTTTAATGGAAGAAGGGTTTAAGTGGAAGAAGAAACTTAGCAATTTTGCTCTCAGAGAGAACTCTCTTGAGGCCAGCTTTCGAGTTCTAGCATCTGAGCTTCTTTGGCAACTGAATTTCAAAGCTCACTCAGACTTTAAGTGTAGTGACACTTCATCTGGAACCCCAAACAGTGGCATAACCACATCTGATGAGACAATGCTTTCTTTTTTAGAAAATTTTATTACTTAAAGTTTCCTCTATGAAAAGATAAACTTCAAACATTCCCATACCTCCCTCGAAGTAGGGCTACACAGTGTTCAGAAGGACAGACGAGTCCTTCCAAAGAAACTGCTGTGTACGGGAGTCCACTTGGCAGAACTCTCTCTCCCCTCAGGGAACAGTGAAAAGCCGACCCAACACGGGAATGAACGCAAACCATGAGACAAATGCAGAGGATCAGACACAAACAGAAAGCCAAAGCTAAACATCTACCTTAGGACACCAGTTCTGGAGATTCCTCCTGTCAGGAATTTTTTCCTTCATAAAAATATGAATGAGGAAGGTGGAACGAGTAGTATACTGTGGGTGAGAAACCAGAAGGCCCCAAACATGCGGGTGAGGTTATTCTGGACTAAGATGACCCAAATAGCCTTACCTTTTCGGCAACTTGAAAGGTCTAGGTGGTCTGGAAAAATAAGCAAAGGAGAAATGATCAGATACTAAGCATAACATCATTTGCAGAAGTTTCATGTGCAGATTGGACATTTATTTCTCTGTACTCCTCTGGATTTTCCTCTGAAGACTACGTGGGACATCTACAAGTGACACACCAAACACACAGGGCCTCAGGTTGGCCACACATGACACACCATGCCTGGGGCCCTCCTGGGTGAGCCTCGATCTCTCCGGACCTGGGGCTGTCCTCTCCCGACACCTCCCATCCCGCCTTCTCGGTTATCAGGGCCCCCAACACTGCTTTGTTTTTTAATTTAAAAGGACAGCAATACTTTCTGGTATTAGAAATGTCTATTCTTTCTGTTAGAGACCAGTCGCTCTTCAAACCTTCAATTTCTTTCTTTCTTTTTTCCTTTCTTTCTTTGAGACAAGATCTGGCTGTGTAGTCCAGACTGGCCTTGAACCCACAGCGGTCCTCCTGGCTCAGGCTTCGAGGGCTAGGACTACACTGCACCACCACGCCTGGGTTGAAGCTTCGGTTTCCTAATTTCTGGCTTCAAGACATATTTAACAAGTTCAGACTTGCACTTGAGTGGCGCTGTCACCATGGTGTGTTGTTACTCTCTCATCCTCCCTCCCTGCCCTGCCACTAAGATACACAGGGCAAGCTTGCTAAGGAGACTCCAAGCTCAGTCACAAGCCCCACACCCTGTATTCCTCACTGATCAGTTTCCTATTTAGGGGCATGGGGTAAACCTCATTGAATGTCTGGTGAGGAAACAAATCCACTGCTCACCCTCACTGCACCCACACCGGCGCTCTCTCAGGGTGGTCTGCAGCCCCCAGAGACCCTCAGCCCTTGCGCACTGCGAGGCTCCTGCCTGGCTCTGTAATGGGATGCCGTGTGCTGTGCACAGCCTGACCATTCTGCTGTCCTCCCTCTATGTGAAATGACCTCACCAAACGTTTTTCAAAAATGTGATTATTCTTCACAAAGGTGTTATTTATATTAAACATGATTGGGTTATTATCTTTTAATGAGTTAAATACAGTTGCTCAGTTTCAATTCTAATATGGTACATACGAGCTACCCATGAAAAACAAGAGCTCCTTGGAGGCTTTCAATAATTTTTGAAAGTACAAGGGGTTATGAGATGGGAAGGCTCAGGAAGCACTGTACTAAGAGAACAGAGATATATGTATCACAGATTCTCTAGCTATCCATGCTCTCCTAACCTGAAGTCTTTATCCAGGCTGTACCACACTTAGAGGAAACAAAACAAAAAGCAAACCTCTGTCCTCCAATTTTCAGGCTACTCTTCCGACAGCTGGCTTCATGTTGGAATTTCTTGAAGACCTTCAGGTCTCTTTCTCATTTTCCTTCTCCATTGACATTTCTCACTAAGCTACATACTGTTTGTCTCTTACGGTTTATACCCCACGGCCCACAAAGCTCACGCACTCACGGGGGCCTCTCAGGAGGGGACTGCAGCAGGGGTGCGATGCTCTGGGATGGATCTGTCCACTGGCGAGTTCCGGGCTGAGCATGCGGTGGGGAGGCGGTCCTGGGGCGTGGCCAGGAAGGGGCTGCCTCCCTGTCCTCCTTGCTTCCCCACCCTCCATTCCCATCAGCAGCAGGGTCCTGCCTGCGCCTTGGACATGCTGCCCTGCCCTGGAGCCAGGGAACTGTGGACTGAAACCTTACAAACTGCGAGCCAAAATACGTTTCCTCCTTACACTTGTGAGTGTTGGGTATTTGTCTCAGCAGTGACAAAGTAACTAACACGTTATTCATTCTTAAAAACTGTATCAACCTCCCAGTATATCACGAGTGAGACAGGCTTCACTGAGCACATTCTGCCAGGCGCTTTGGGTACTTGCTGCTCACATGAGGGTGGGCGGCCCTACACTTCATCCTTCATTTACTGGTCCTTGGGGTGGGGTGTGAGCACATTAAAAGCACGAATCCAGGAGACAATCAAGTGAGAGCCGAGAGGCAAGAAGCATGTCTGAGCAGTGCTGTGTAGCTCAGCCCTGCCCCACACTGAATGCAGCCTGGCCTGGCAGCAGAACAGGTGGGCGTGCCTCCTGGTACCACATGCCGCTCGCTGTCCAGGGGAGCGAGTCTGTAAGGCTGAGGGAGGGGCAACCACAGGCACGGTGCGAAGTAGTCAGGTCTCACACAGGAAGGAGGCAGCTTCCTTCTGGGGGGCATGGAACAGACTGAGTCTGGTCAGAAGAGGGCAAAGGACTCTGCTTTAGTAACACGGAGGGGACTCAGAGTCCCTACAGAGCTTCAAAGTGCACTGCATTTACAGGGTATGTAAAGACTGCTCATTTCTAAAACAAAAAGACCTTAAACACACAAAGGGGGACCACACCTTAACTGTGTTCATAGTCCCATAATTTAACATAATGCATGATTCTTTGTAAATGTCAAATCAGTGTTTGTTGGATTAACAGGCATCAACAAAGGTAAATTTAGTTTTATTCTATCTCTCTGTCACACACACACATACACACTTTGTAACTTCAGCCCACTCCTGTCAAACCTAATGTCGTTCGTATTTTACTAAACTTTTCAATTTTTGTTAGTGCTATGAATATCCAGTGCTACAGGATGGGTAATCAGAAAGGTTAACGAAGTGAGAATGCCCTTTGTAAAAAGTGCTGTCCACCTTCCTTGGGTGTGGAACCATAACTGCTCAGCCTCGAGCTCTTCTTCCATAAGCCACACCTGTGTGTGCTCTGGGCTCTGAGGCTGCTGGAGCTCGGCCATGCCCTGGAGCAAGGTCCCTGCATTCCCAGCTCCCCACATCTTTTATACAGTGCTCGTCCCCCTAATTCAATGGGAATTTCTTGGTGGCGATTTACCTTTTTCAAATTTTCCTAAGGCTGCAACTTTCTTCATCAAACAGCTTTCTCCAAGCACCCATGGGCGGCTAGATACTGGACTGTTTCAGTCAGAGGCAGAGGGCAGCACACACAGGCGTGGGCACACGGCATGGAAGCCAAAGGTGCAGGTCCCCACCCCGGGGGACAGAGCCCACTGGCAGCAGGATGCTGGGGTGCTGGAGGTGCTTCACACACTGCCCACACCATAAACATCTTCACTCCTGAGCACACCATGAAACACATTTGCTGTTTTGGATAAATCCACCAAGAAACCCCAAAAACCTGTATTCTCATATTAATTACGCATTGATTTTTTTTTTGAGACAGGGTCTTGCTGTGAAGTCCAAGCTGGCCTTTAACTCTCTATGTAGCCAGTCTGCCTCAAACTCATGGTCGTCCTGCCTCAGCCTCCTGAGAGCGGGAAGTATAGGTTGTGTGTCATGAGGCCTGGCTTCCACAGTGATTAAGAAGACAGTATTATTGAGACACAATTCACACACCATATGATCCATCCATCCACTTAAATGGCTCCTGGTACTTTCATAGAGTTGTATAACCATTACCACAACCACATGGTGACTCTGCTATCTGAATCCAAGGGTGAAGCTGTTAGTGAGCTAAAGGGAAGAGTTACCTGTACAGAGAGGAACGTGAGGCCTGGAACAAAAGAGCCAATCGCCTGTACATATACAGGTTTCACTCCCCGTTTTCCAGTTATACAGCCTCAAAAGTACCTACTGGATTTCCATGAGAAGTTAGTAGATTTTGCCATCTTTAGACCTAAAATGGCCCCCAAAGCCACAATCCTGGACTATATCTGACTAGGTATTTGTAAAGAATGAATCTGCTGTGTCTCTTGTGGGCTGTAAGAAACAGGAACATTCTCCTTCCTCCTGTTCACCAGACTCCAAAGCTGCGAACTCCGTGGCTCTGCCCTGCTCACTCTCTAGAGACAGAATGACTGCTGGCATCGTGTTCTTTCTGCCTGAGCACAGAATTCATTTTCTATTACATTTTTGACAAAATTAAAGGCTGTCAACCTGAGCTGCAAAAGAGAAACTGAGGTTACTCCAAGGATGCCTTCTGGGAAACACTTGAGCCCTCTGAAGTTTCTGTGCTAATGGACACGATGAGCAGATGGCAGACACTCGCGGCCATGCTGCAGGTGACATAGGAAGCCACTGTGGTTTGCGGTGTTGCCTGCTTTAATTCTGCCTCTGTGTCTCTCTCCAGAAGCATCCTTGAGAGCTTCTCGCAGACAAGCGGTCTCCCTCCACGTGCAAGGCCCTTCACGCCTGTTCCTCTCCCTATCTAACCAGAGCTCCTGCAAGGTGGCCCCAACAACCACGCAAACCAGACGAGCAGCAGGCACCTTCGAGAGAGCCCTTCCTGCAGGCCAGGCCAAGGCGGCATCTGCATCTTCCAGAGCTCGCTCCCGACCATGGTGCAGGCTGGTTGGGGCCGGGCACAGCTCCCCAGCTGCAACTAGCTGCCCTGTTGCTAGTTCTCTCCCATGTAACTGGGCATTTCTGTTTGCTGGTGGGTGACTGATGTTATTTTAGGACTAAGCTCAACTCTGCTTTTAAAAAGCATGAAGCATTTAGAAACTCAAGTGCTCATGATTAGTAGGTGCTGGCCCTTCCCACCTAGAAGCTGACAGCAGTGAGCGCCTGCCTGGAGAGCTGGGTGACAGCTGCGAAGAGGCCATGTCTCAGATGGGAGGCAGGAAAAGAGCAGAAGGACCCAGACTGTGCGGCACAGAGGAGACAAGGGGGCACTCAAAAAAGGGCAATGGAGAGAAAGCACTATAGGAAGACAAAAGTCAACAAAGAACTGGGAAAAGGAAAAACTACAAGTGGCCCGTGTGTGTTTCCTGCCCTCATTTTTTCCCTCTCTCGTAAGAATTGTTGGGACAAGAAAGGGAGATTGCACGGTGAAGGAAATGAGAATAATGCAACATGAAGACTTCCCATCAGTCTGGAGCATGCTTTCCAGACAGCTGCAGAATCAACATTACAACTCATAGAGGGACAGGGTCAGCTTGATAAATCCCAACCAGCTTTCCTAACATCGAGGAAATCAAACCTGTGGAAAACTGGCTTTGTATACTTCTGA